ATGATGAATGTATGCATATAAATACTTAACGATTCCTGGAATGTCTTAGACAATATATAGAATTCTGTATTTAATACTTTGTTATGGAGAAAAACAATTGAAAACTATCAATAAATATTAAAATAAAAACTAACTTTAAAAATGAAACACAACTTAATGCACTTTATGTCACTAAATTTGATTAATAAAATTGGCTGTGATGGTAGGCACTAATTTAATTAAGAGGGACTGGATATTCATAGTATACTTTGGCCTTGAAAAAGTTAATCTACATTTAAAATTTCCAAGTTACAAATTTTACTATCATTCTGCACTTTCTATTGGTTAATGCTGACTAGATTAAAAAACAACAACAAATGGCCAAACAAAAATTTGGGTATTGATTTTCAACATTTACATATATTTATCCACACTGCTGTTTTTCTTGTAATGAAATAATGAAAAATAGGCTATATAAATATAAAATAGAAGCTTTTAAAAGGTGTTCTTTCTTGGGAAAGAAAAAGAAAGCGACTTAAAAGTTTACGTCAGGGCCAGCGTTGTGACTTAGCAGGTAAAGCCACGACCTGCAGTGCTGGCATCCCATATGGGACCCAGTTCAAGTCCCGGCTGCTCCTCTTCTGATCCAGCTCTCTGCTATGGCCTGGGAAAGCAATGGAAGATGGCACAAGTGCTTGAGCCCCTGCACCCGAGTGGGAAACCCAGAAAAAGCTCCTGGCTCCTGGCTTTGGATCTGCCCAGCTCTGGCCATTGAGGCCACCTGGGGAGTGAACCAGTGGATGAAACACCTCTCTCTTCCATTCTCTCTCTCTCTCTCTGCCTCTGCCTCTCTGTAACTGTTTCAGATAAATTAATGAATCCTTATAAATGGATAAATAAATAAAAGTATATGTCAATAATAAGTAGCATAATTTAAAATATAATCAAAAGTCCTGCTTTCTAGTTTAAGTTCCACAAGTCTCTTTTAAAAAATCAGATTAAAGACATTAATTAATTTAAGAAAAAAGATATGAATTTCACTTACGATTATGCTAAAAAAAGAATAACAGAAAAACACCAGGTACCACTGAAATGGTTCACAGGTAGCTGTACAACCACATTTCCCAAGTTGTTTTTGTTTGTGATGCATGTTTAAGTGCACAGAACATTTGATTTTATGACAGTTTTATTCTCAGCACAGCAAATGGCAAAAGGGTTTCTGTTCAATTGACTTTCTCATAAAAGGTTTAATTTCCTACATTTTGTTATCAGTTATGTCTAGAGTTTCTTCCTCCAGCTTATATGTAATTCTGTTTTGTATGGCGGAGTGACCTGGTGTCAGTCAGGGTGAGCAGGAATTGTACTTGCTCTAAGTGATGGTGTGAATTGCAGCAGCTAGAAAACCCTCTTTGGAGTAAATAGCTTAAAGGCCAAGATATCGTATCACAAAAGTGAACAGCTACGAGTTACATAAAAACAGAACATTTCATATTCTGCTGACTAACATTAAAAATATTTGATGACAGTAAATAAAGGATAGGCTATCCCACATCTAATTACAGCCAGTCATTTCATTATCAAATGTGACTGGAAATTCATTAGAGAAACGTTATATTCAAAAGTATATTATTAAATCTATTGTTCCACAAAATACCAGTCTCTCAAAAGCTTCTTGGTAAATTCACGTGTGCATAGCAAAGCCAGTGAAACTAAGTGCTGCGATTACTACAGAGGCATTTCAATATTTAACAGAGGTAAAAAGATGATAGGTGTAGATATTTATAAGTATTTCAATTTAGATATATAGACATAGATGCTTTTTCATGGATTCTAATCGTATGAACAAAATGATTCCTGGTGGAATCATTTTGTGGGTGGGAGGGACCATTAGATCTCTACGTTCTTCATGATAGTCAATTAGATACAGAATAGTAAAGACTTGTTAATAGTTTTAAAAATAAATTTTAAAGCACCAGTAACCTTTCAAGGAAGGAGTCAGAAAACTTTTCTTTTGAATGAAATAAAAAATAGTAGAGTTTGAGTGCCATGAGGTCTCTGCTGTAACTACTCAGCTCTCTTTTTAGAGTACAAAAGCACTAAACAACTGGTTGCGGTTACATCCCGTTAAAACTTCACTTTAGAAAAAGCGGATTGTGACCTAAAAAGTAGGACTGGGGCTAGTGTTGTGGTGCAGCAGGATGCAATCCCCGCATCCCATATCAGAGCACGCGTTCGAGTCCCAGACGCTCTGATTCTGACCCATCTCCCTGCTAATGCAGCTGGAAAAGCAGCAGAAAATGGCCCAAATACTTGGGCCCCTGCCACTCATGTGGGAGACCCTGAGAGAGTTCCTGGCTGCTGGCTTAGGTCTGGCCCAGTCCCCAACCATTGCAAGAGTTTAGGAAGTAAAATAGAGGATGGAAGATTTCTTCCTCTCTCTCTCTCTCCCCTCTCTGTCTCTCTGTGTTTCAAATAAAATAAGCCATTAAGAAAAAGTAGGTTTGGCAAATAGGTTCTGATTTGTTGACCCAATTCTAAGGCTCACACAACCCCCTTTTGTTATTCTAAAAGAAGTAAATGCCTTTTCCTTTCTTTCTTTCTTTCTTTTTTTTTTTTTTTTAAGTTGTTTGGCTTTGCTATTTAAAAATATATAATTGGGGGGAGGGGAGCTGTGTTGTGTCTTAGCAGGTAAAGCTGTTGCCTGTGATGCCAGCGTCCCATATGGGCACAGGCTGGGCTTCCAGCTGTTCCACTTCCACTTATGACCCAGCTACCTGTTAATGGCCTGGGAAAAGCAATGGAAGATGGCCCAAGTCTTTGGGGCCCCGTCAACCATGTGAAAGACCTGGATGAACTCCTGGCTCCTGGCTTAGTCTGGCCCAGTCCCTGCCCTTGTGGTCATTTGGGGCATGATTCAGTGGATGGAAGATCTCTCTCTCTCTCTCTCTCTGACTCTCTAACTTCCAAATAAGTACATAAACGTGTATATATAATATATATAAATTTTGATATCAGGATTTGTCATTCTTGAACATGAACTTGATTGTTTTTCTTCTACTGGATCATTATGGAAAACAATATAACATGGTGAAGTTCCACACAAAAATGCAATTCACAATCACCAGATTCACTTTAGCCATCACAACAATGTCAGGCCTTCAGCTGTATAGACTCTTTCCATCAACCTGGCCAAATGAGCACCTACATGACAGGCAAATTGTTTCATTGCCTATTGTTTACACTTTCTCTGCCGAAATTATGTCATTTTCTAAGTTAGATGTTAGGCAAAACACCAAAAAAATGAAAAAAAAATCCACAATTTCTGAAACCTGGGAAACTTGCTAACACGTACTAAATAACTCAGATATTATATACATTTCAATTGTATGGATGATGAGAAAATATTTTGAAGCAAGCAGAAATGTAACAAAAATTCCTAGTAGGATCATGAAAGAGAAAATCTACCGAAGCATTTTTTAATGATGCCCACTGGTAAGGAAGATAATCTATCTTATCTATCCCATGAAGACTTTTCTAGAGTGGCACTAAGCCTAAACATCAGCCACTAAACACAGATTATTTGCCCACAGGATATTTAATATGTAGTTCTAAAAAATCAATTTCTGGGTATCCAGTGAACAAAACCTCAGCTTTATACTACCACTCTAAATTAATATATTTATATAGTTATACATCACATATTATTTACCTTTTTATTATATCAGTGCAGTAGTATTAATTTCTAATGTATACATCAGGTCAGAGTGACAGAAAGGTATTCTATGACATTGTTAAGAGAACAAACTTCAACTATTTATAAACTAGATTTGATAGAAAAGGGTAATAAATCCATCCTAAAACCAAAATATCTGCAAATATTTCACTGAACGAACTATAGTAACAAAGCATTATCTGACCATAATTTTAAGGTATCCATAATGCACCATTCATTGTAAGTAAACTATTCTTATTATCTTTCTTCTATTATGTGAAGGGATTCTGGTAGCCATAAAGAGTACAGATCATTGTATCTTACATAATTTGAGAACCTCTGTGTATTATTTTTAAATAACAAACAATACTTTATTCTATTAATTTTGAATAAAAGCTAACTTCCAAATCTTGTCTTTAACTTATTAGGTAAGTGAACGTGTACAAGCATAATGCAGTCATACATTTAAGAATGAAACTGTCAAACATGTTTTGAAGAGAAAACATACTTCAGAGTCACTCTGAGCAACTGAGACTTGGAACCAGAAAAAGACCGCAAATCAGGTTGATCAATGACATTAGAATGATGGAAGTTTTACATATTTAATTATGACAATTAACAAGCAAATATTTCTAAAGCATTACCAGTGCATAATGAACGATGTTAAAGCCATTCAATACTTTATTTATGTAATGTGCTAAAATTCTGTTTCAAATTACTGATTTGGCACTACTTTCCACAAAAATCAACAAATTCAAGAACCTGCAAGAAAATACTAATATTTTCAAATGTTAAACAATTGTCATTTCAGATACATTATTGTGTTTACCATGAGTTCTTCGTAGTTGTTTCAGTGTGCCACTACAGGCTCTATGTAATCTGAATTACTCTGTGTAAACTGAAACCATCATTTTCAATCAGGAAGAAATGAGATGTTATCACAGCGGGTCTGGCACTCGCTGGTCCCTCAGCTCCTCTCCAGGTGCTTTTAGGAGGATTTGGCCTAACAGATTGAATTGGCCACCCTGCATCCAGGACTTGGAAGCCATATGGTACAATGCTGAAAGCTATATTAAATTTTGAGTCCTAGTTTGGCCAGGTTTATTCTCAAAACTGAATATTGGAATTCATTCATGTAAATTTCCATATATTGCTGCTTACTGCCACAATTAAGCACACTTTATTTTCCTTTTCCTTTTTCAAGCACTTGCTGTTACCAAATAATGCTAGAGTTTAAACTGGAAAACGCTAGTTGAGAATAGGAAAAAAACTGGGGCAGGAAGACACATTAGGTTCAACCTGCATTTACCTTTAAAGAAACAGTCTTCGTTGTGAACAATGGTAATCTTTTGTTGTTTCAGACAAGCGGCTCTGTGAACTTCACAGTGGTTTTCATAGAATTCTCCATCAGACCCACACACAGGTTTATAGTGTCGTTTGCAAACGTCCATGCAGGTGCACTCAGCTTGGCCTGTCTCTCTGCTCATCAGACAGTGTCTTCCCAAGCCACAGTACTTATTTTCACAAGATCCAAAAGGGACATCCTGAATTAGAAACCCTGTAGATGAAAAATAGACAATCATTTGATTCATATGTCCAAATAACCTAGGCATTTCAAAGGACCAAATGAAAAATGTGTTCTAACACAATTGCAGTATAATCAGATATCTGTGTTATTTCAGTAGAGGAGAGAATTGCATCAGAACTCAAAAAAGAATCCAAAATGATGGATTTTTTAAGACTCAACATTCCTCCCATCTCTCCCTGTTCTTGGAGTCTCCTGTCTCTTCTCAGAGAAGTGTGATGCTTAAGGCATTAAAACATATCTCAACATAATGGCATCACAGCAATTAAACACATAGCTGCTAATCCACAGGTTAAATTCTCTCCAATGACTCGCAAGCTTTAGGCATCTAACAAACCTGTACCTCAGTTTATTCACCTGCAAAATGGGGATAATATATTATATCTTCAGAGAATTACCAAGATTAAAGGGCTTGGCATTTAAAAAATCTCATTTAGATATTAGTTATTATTATCTCTTCAGAAACATTCAAATGACATCAATATGTGAATGAAAACTATTTTAAAAATTAAACAAATGCTAGTGAGAATGTGGGGGAAAAGGTACTCTAGTGAGAATGTAAACTGGTACAGCCACTATGGAAGACAGTATGGAGCTACCTCAGAAATCTGAATATAGACCTACCATATGCCCCAGCCATCCCACTCCTGAGAATTTACCAAGGGAAATGAAATCAGTATATGAAAGAGTTATCTGTACCCCCATGTCTATTACAATTCAACTCACAATAGCTAAGACATGGAATCAATCCAGATGTCCATCAACTGAAGACTGCATAAAGAAATTAAGGTATATGCACACAATGGAATACTACACAATGATAAAAAAAATGAAATCCTATTGTTTGCAACGAAATGGATGCTACTGGAAACCACCATACTTAGTGAAATGAGCCAGTTCCACAAAGACAAATACCATATGTTCTCCCTGATCTGTGGTAGCTAATAAAGTACCTAAAAGGTAATCTGTAGAACTGAAATTGACGAACAGTTTTTTTTTTTTTTCATTTATTTGTTGAACACTTTACTTAGTGTAGGGTTAATCTTATGTGTATAAAGTTAATTTAAAATAGATCTTTGTAAAAAAAAAACTAAGAATGGGAATAGAAGAGTAGGAGGAAGAAGGGTGGGAGGGAAGGCATGAGGGAGGATAGGGTAAGAAGGATCACTATGTTCATAAATTTGTAAACCTGAAATGCATGAAGTTTGTATACCTTAAATAAAAGGTTTCTAGGTAAACAATTAATTTTATTATTAAATTTGTCTTCATATTTACTCATGCATTTCCAAATGGAATTTGAATTAATAAAATTAAAATTATACAAAAAGACCAACACTGTCAATGGTGCAATTTAAAAATATACATTTTTTCTGATAGTGGAAATTGGAACAATTTTTTGACAACAATTGTTAATATTTGCATTCTTTACTGCTACAATCCAATTATAGAGAAAACGGTCTATAAAATTAAAAACAAAAATGAAAAATCACTTTATTGACCTATTTTCCCAGTGCTACATTATTTTTAAATAACTGATTGGAGCTTTTTAACATACTCAATAACTTTTAAAAAATATATGCAATGCAATAGTTCTTGAACTTGGGGAGGATTGGTAAGTCAAAGTGAAGCTGGTTAAACACTGCCTCTGCTCACTCTAAGAATTTCCGATTCAGGATATCTGGCATTAACCCTAACACGTTTTTCATGAATGATCCCAGTTGATGCTGTACCGCTTTCTCCAGGATGATATTTTAGGGCCTCTGATACAATGAGATATTAGTTTATGATTAAAGTAAGCAGAATAGTAAGGAAAAGATTATGGGGCCAAAGCTCAAGCAAAGTAAGCTAAGCCTCCTCCTTCAGCACCGGCATACCAAATGGGCACTGGTTCCTGTTCCAGCTGCTCCTCTACCAATCCAGCTCTCTGCTTATGAACTCAGAAAGCAGTGGAAGATGGCCAAAGTGCTTGGGTCCCTGCCTTGTGTGGGAGTCCTGGAAGAGGCTCCTGGCTCCTAATCAGCTCAGCTCTGGCCATCACGGTCATTTGGGGAGTGAACCAAAGGATGGCAGATCTTTGTCTCTGACTCTCCCTCTCCCTGTAACTTTACCTCTCAAATAAATAAATATAAACCAAAAAAATTATGTAATTAATTATGAAATGATTTTAAATGAAAGATAAGAGGTTAATATTAAGATCAAAAACATAAAATAATGAAAGCATTTGTAAGATATTAGGAAAAGATATAGGAAAATAAGCACAATTGATTAGCTAGATTGATATGCTACTGGACAAATTTTTCTACTTTACCATTATTGGTTTTAATGTTCAGTGTAGAAAATAAGAAGGCGGCCATTAGCCTGAGGCTGTGCCCTGGCTTTGAGTCTGTAACCAAGAAATTGCAACCTAACTTTGAACACAAATAAATCAAACCAAATTTAGAAATATGTGTGAGTGTGTGTGTGTGTGTGTATAACAAATAGCAGGGTTTCAGTCAATCACAAACAGCTGAGCTTCCACCTAACACAGGCATCTAGCTGATCAGACGATACCTATTTACAAATAGAGTAAATGCTTTATCATGCAATGTCTCAGTAAGGCAAAAATCCACCTGCAGCCCTATGTGTTCATTGTTCATTGCTCAAACTATTGGGCAGAGCTATTCTGAGCCTCTTTCCATTATAAATGTTGACAAATGCATGAATCCTCCTTTGCTAACATAAACACTCATATTTAATTTGTGTAATTGTTTTCTGTTAAAAATGAAAACACTGGAGTCCAAAATTATATAAATTATAATTATTATATAATAACTAATATGAATGAAGAAAAATATTTCCTAATTGTTGTACCAGCATTTATGCAGATTATCCAATCAATGCATATACAGTCCACAATCAGGCTCTCCTTATTATACAGCAATTTAGTTTACATAATAATGTTACATAATTTGATATTTTATGACTACCAAATAATCAGTTAAGATTTATCAAAAGATTATTTTATTATTTTTTATTACTAAAGAACGAGTCCATTCTACATTTCACTCACAACTCACAAATTTAGGTAGTGCTTTGAATCAACTGAATTTTTCTGCCTTGGGGGAAATGATTTGTTATAACATGTAGACATATCTAGTATACAAGGATACTTCAAATGATTTTTGGAAAATTTGAGTTAAAAGATACATTTATTTTGGAGCAACAGTAGTTTTGAAATACATTGATAATTTTTGTACAACACACATTTTACATAAATGTCAACAAGATTCGTCTTATCTGAGGTGGTAAATTTCCCATAATCTCATCAATGCTCTCCTTAAAGCCTGCACTCCACCTTAGATATAAAAATACAAAATGTCTAAAAGCTGATAAACTATTTTACACTAGCTAGATGTGTTGCATGCAGCTGCTACAATGAAAGAAATTAAAGCTCATAGTATGTAAATTAATAATGAACACATCCTTGCTGGCAGTGTTTATCCATGAGTAATGCTTAACTAAGCTTCCGCTGAGATTCAATCAAACTAATCTGATCAGTATGTCCAAGATTTCTTTTGCATATATTCAATCATATAACACAATAAATGAATTTTAATCAATAACTTAAGTCCTGCTGTCTTAAACCTTGTTAAAATAGCATCCCTCCCCTCAAATTGGCAATATACTTAAGAAGTACATCATTTTATAATTTCTATTCCTTCAGAGAACTGCTGTAAAACAAGGCTGGAATATCAAGACTACATACACAAAGTCATAAAGCAAAATCATTCTACATTGTTCTATGGTGGTCTTTTCATATTCTCAATTACTATGTCATTCTCTTCAGGGAGGCATACCAATATCAACATCTCCACCTGCCTCTATCTAATTATCTACCTATAAATCCATCTATGATACTTTTTATCATGCATGTACTTAATAGAGTTGATATAATTTAGAATAGATTTTAATATAGAACAAAGAATTTCTGCTGTTCTAGTGCACAATGAGGTCACTTATAGCTAATAATAATATACTGTGTATTTTTTTAGAAAAGCTAGCAGAAAGGATTAATGTTTGCTCTGACTTTAACTTTATGTACATGTGTTGAAACATTATATCATAACATTCCATATATAATTTCATTCTTATGAATCAGTTAAAACAAAAATAAGCTATTAAAACAAGTATATAGAAGAGATCTTCAAAATGCACAGAGAAAAACCATATTATGAAAAAATGTGGTTGTATTTGAAAATATTTGCACTAAACAAAACATAGTTACAATGAAAGCTAATGTCCACGAAATATATTCAGTAAAGTTTCATAGGAGTGACCAATATTTCTAGTTCACCTGCATTAAGCAAAACTCATAACTTTTAAGTAACATTTACATATTCTATAATTGGCTTCCAACATACAGAATTAAAAGTCATTTTGATTTTGATTTTTTAAATTTCTCTTTTTCTCCTGACTTTGTATTTTCATTTGTTTCATAGTAATAGTTATAATACAGTCTTTAAAATGAGTCATTTTTTGCATTTTTATTACAAGTGTGATTTTGGGCAAGTGATTTAAAAATTACTAAGCTTCAGTTTCCCTAACTACAACATACTAGAACTCAATATTATTTAAGTGAATAAATAAAGTGGAGATGATAATAATAAAAAAATACCATATGGTTGCTGAAAGTGTTATGTAGGATGACACGCTGAAAGTGCATGGATAGGGTAGATATGTGCTTAATATGTGTATTATTTTTATGTATTATCATGTATTGCACATGGAATATATTCACTTACACTTATTTGAATAAATATCTTTGACAACTCCAGTTTTATTATAACAACTGGAAACATGTTTATGGGAGTGTTGAAGCACGGGTTTTGCCAAATAATACCTTTGAATTTTTTAAAAGCAATCACTATATAAGAATTCCTTTCAGTTGCAAAGAAAGCAAAAGAGAGAGAGAGAGAGAGAGAGATGAAAGGGAG